GGAATGCTGGGAATGCTGGGAATGCTGGGAATGCTGGGAATGCTGGGAATGCTGGGAATGCTGGGAATGCTGGGAATGCTGGGAATGCTGGGAATTCTGGGAATGCTGGGAATTCTGGGAATGCTGGGATTGGAATTCTGGGAATTCTGGGAATTCTGGGAATGCTGGGATTGGAATTCTGGGAATTCTGGGAATGCTGGGAATGCTGGGATTGGAATTCTGGGAATGCTGGGAATTTGGGGCTGGAATTCTGGGATATCGTTACGGATTTTTGGGTCATAAATCTGGGATTTTGGGGTTGGAATTCTGAGGTTTTTTTGGAATTTTGGGATCTTGGGTTGGAATTCCGGGATTTTTTGGGAATTTTGGGAATTTTGTGTTGGGAGATCTGGGATTTTGGGGAAATTTGTGTTGGAATTTTGGCTCGGAATTCTGGGATTTTTTGGGAATTTTGGGAATTTTGTGTTGGGAGTTCTGGGGTTTTTGGGGAATTATGTGTTGGAATTTTTGGATTATGTTGGGAATTTTGGGGATTTTGGCTCGAAATTCTGGGATGTTTTTCTGTGGAATTCCGGGATTTTTTGGGGATTTTGGGTGGGAATTGCGGGATTTTGGGTCGGAATTGCGGGATTTTGGGTCGGAATTCCATCATTTTTTGGGGATTTTGGGTGGGAATTGCGGGATTTTGGGTGGGAATTGCGGGATTTTTTGGGGATTTGGGGAATTTTGGGTGGGAATTGCGGTAATTTTGGGGATTTTGGGTGGGAATTTTGGGATTTTGGGTCGGAATTTTGGGATTTTGGGTGGGAATTCCGGGATTTTGGGTGGGAATTTTGGGAATTTTTTGGGGATTTTGGGTGGGAATTGCGGGAATTTTGGGATTTTGGGTCGGAATTCCGGGATTTTGGGTGGGAATTCCGGGATTTTTTGGGAATTTTGGGGATTTTGGGTGGGAATTGCGGAATTTTGGGTATGAATTTTGGGGATTTTGGGTGGGAATTGCGGGATTTTTGGTAATCCGTGATTTTTGGGAATGGCGGCCCC